TCTCTTTACCCTTCCCCCCTTAGAACCCATCGAACCCAGCAACTGTCATTGGGTTCCTCGGAACCCAAGCACTAGGTTTCTCGAAACCCAGGCTTGGGTTCCTTGGAATCTAGCTGGGTCTTTGAACCCAAGTGCTGGGTTCATCGAACCCAAGCTTGGGTTCCTTCAAACCCATTGCCTGGGTTCGACGAACCTAGGCTTTGGGTTCCAAGGAACCTGGCGTTGGGTTCGACGAACCCACACAAAGGCTCTGGATTCCTTGGAACCCGGCACTGGGTTCGACGAACCCATGCGTTGGGTTCAACGAACCCGAAGGAACCCATCGCCTGGGTTCGACGATCCCAAGCTCTGGGTTCCTTCAAACTTGGTGCTGGGTTCGATTGAACCCAAGCACTGGATTCTTCAACAAAATAAATAAATAAATATTTTTTGTGTTTTTGTGGGTGTTGTTTGATGATGATGATGATGATGATGAAGGAAAGGAAGAGGAAGGAGAAAGGGAATGAGGAACACCCAGTTGGGTTCAAAGGAACCCATCGCCTGGGTTTAGAAAAGGAAGAGGAAGGAGAAAGAATTTTTAAAATTTTTATTGCCATGTCACTAGTTTTTGCCATGTTGTCTTCCATGTGGGTTAAAATTTTGACATGTCATCATCTTACCGTGAATTAATAGTACACATGGAGATATTTTTAACGGAATGACTAAATTGAGGTAAAAATGGTAAACAATAGGGATCAAGTTAGGGATTTTTTGAGTTGAGGGACTTAATCGGGGGTCTGTATAATAGGTGAGGGACCAAAAAAAAGGTTTAACCAATATTTTATTATTGAACACAATATATGAATTAATATATGGGACTGTTTGCTTAATTATTCAGATCAATATCAGTCCAAAAAAATAAATATTCAGACCAATTTGTTGTCAATCCAAAAAGAAATTATTTCAAACCAAGTTTTTTGGCCTGACTTTTCAGATCGATATTGGTCTGAATTTTTATTGCCAGACCATTTTCCATCTTTTTCAGACCAATAATCTGCCTTTTCCAGTAGTGATGCTCTCACCGTTCAAAAAATAAAAAAGAGAACTAAATTATTAGTGTACCTTTTGTAGCCGATGAATTGTAGGATTAAAGCGAAGATGAAAATGTTGACAAAATTGCAGTTTTGATAGGAAACCTTTACACAATTCTTTATTTTTCGAATTTCGTATGTGTATATCTGCTGGATGTATTGCTTTCTCTCCCTGTTCCTCTCTCAACTCCAAATAGGAGAGAACAGATTTTGTTTAATGCCGATCAAAAAAGGGATTATGTTCAATGCAAGGATCCATCAATGGCAACACCTATCAAATATTCAAACAGATTAAGAAAACACCCATCTCATAGAATAATTGAGGCAATGCATGGATGCCCCTATCTTGTAGAAAATATATGCATGATATGTGATTACATAATTAATTCGTTTTATTTAAAAATTCACTCATATGACATTATTTGTATATATTTATTTAATTACATATCATAATTATAAACATACAATCTTTAGTATTGCAACTATTGTAATTCATCTTTTGCTCAAAAATAAAAGAAACCCATATAATATCAATCCAGGGGCATCATCAACGCAGCAGATCATAACCATCATTGAAGGACAACACAACTCAAAGGGTACAACTCATTTATGGGGTACTGCTGGTCCTATTTAATCTAGATCTATTGATGGCTTCTCCTATAATGTAATTTTCGTTTATCATTTTATAATCGTATAAAATATGTTGGGTTTTATCCTCTCAAACACAAATCTGACCTTATTCTGTGTTCTAAACATTCAAAAATCTTTGTTAAAAGTTGTTTTCATACAAAAACTGTTTCCATCTACTCTAATGGAGAAGACAAGTAGGAAAAACTCGAAAGACCAGCATCTCACGGAATACCGATCTCTTCAGACTCTTTCCATCCCACTACACAACGGATCATCTAAACTCAAGAATCTATTCCTCTAGGCTAGATGTATTCCATGAATTAGAGTTCCTATTTAAAAACCAATCCATTAACCTCACTACCAATCCAAAATATAAGTGTGTCATTCTTAGCAAGAAGGGAAAATGGTGTAGGAGTTGTGTCAAGCCATGGTTCAACAACCATTGATTCTGGTTGAGCCTAGGCTCGGTGATTGTTGTACATTTCACACAACACACACACAAAGAGAGAAAAAAAAAAAAGAAAAAAAAAGAAAGAAGAGGAAGAAAACCTAGTTGATCCCAGTGAGATCAAAATCAACTCTAATAATGCTTTAAGCTGCAAAATTAATTATCAGGGAATGTGATAGCTTTGGAAAAAGAAAGGGTAAGAATGTGCAATTGTAAAAACTGTGTAGTACTTCCTCGGTACCATGACAGTGTAACTTTTTGGAGCCAAGAGAATAGTAGACAGCATTCTTACCATAGAATCTTGGGAAATAAACTCTGTCCTCCATTCCAGTTGTTGCAGGTATGGCAAAAGAAGAATGATTGCTAACATAAATTGTATAGTTTCCTATATTCTCAACTTCAAGCCAGACCATGTCAGACTTATTTAACCTGAAAATTCGAACCCACCTTCCCAAGAAACCTACAAACATGACAGAAGCTTTCCATCACATTCTACCAAATAGCTTTGGTGAGAAAAGCAAGGCTTTTTAACCTTGTCAAGGAATTTGAATCCATCTTCTTTATAAAAGGCATATAGCTTTGCGTCTTAATCAAAAGTGTAAAAAGCCCCATCATAGAATGTGAAAATGAAATTATTGCGGTCAGTAGTTGAACAAATGTCAACTCCATCAACACCTTGCGTATGCCATTCCCCTTCAGAAGGATGTAGTATATGGAAACATGATCGTGAACATGGCCAGTCAAAACAACCCAGTCAATTGAGGATGAGAAACCTACGATTGGTAGTGCTGCATGGGACAGATTTGGAAGTTGAATGGTTCTGTTTACAAAAGGATTCCAAAGAAATATGGAATATCTTCCTTTTAGCATCAGACACCAACCTTCCCTTGAACAGCACCTCATGATATCTTTCAATTGGTTATTAGGGATGTCCATGGCATATTTTTCGCCCCACACATTGATGAAGGTGCAAATACTGTCACCTTTTCTAGATAACATAAGCCAAGGTAGAAGAGAATTATAGCCTTCAAAACCTTCCAGGGCTGCACTTGTCCATCGGATTGCAGGGGCTGCCAATCGGAACCGGACCGAAAGTTCACGTAGTCAGGAAGGACAAGGCACTTTCCAATTGCAAATAATGTGTCTAGAGGAAGCTTACCAAATTCTCCTTCTCCTTGTTCAAGCACCGAATGCTCAACAATTTCTCTATTTTCAGGTGGTTGTATCTCTTTCCTTTCTACATGTAATTCACTAACGGCTTGTCTTAGGATATTGCATAGCCTGGGAGAGAGAAGCAAATAAAGAAACAGAATTAGTATTAAACAGATTAATATGTCATGCAACTTCACAAAGTTAAATATTTGGATTAACAATTAGTGCAGATATGTGAAAAATAAGATAGCATAAATACCTCACGTCTGACATTATCCCGATGGGCAAATACCATGAAGTTTTCAAATTTGGACGTCTTGAAGAAACTGAAACAGTTTTATCATCCATGTTAAATGAATAGAGGCTAAAATCCCTATTTGATGCGAAACAGACATGGTTCTCCTTAGTTTTTGTCGCAGACGTTGCAGGTCTTGAGAAGGAAGATCTGTGACTCAGAAAGAAAGCTCTATTCTTGATACTTTCTACCTTTTCCCACACCATGGTATGAAAATCCAGTCTGAAAACATCTACAGAAATTACTTGTTCTTGATCAGTATCCGATGCATTTTTTGATAACCAAATATATTACATAGAGTTCCCCACATGATTCTAGCATGTACCACGACAGCATGATGAAATTTCTTGGTGTCCTGGTATGGACTCATCAAACAAAATCGGTTCAAGACTACCCTCTGGCGTGTTGAGTTCTATCTTGATTAGTTTTATTGATAGAAAACAGTCCACTGTACAGGACAATTAATGTTTCATCATAGATGACAGGATTAGAGAGATAATTCCTTTCCATCCCAAACTTGGCGTCAATAGTTTGGTGAACCCAATTCTTATCTCCAATCCCAATTCTACGGAAGATGAATCAAGGAACTGTCATTTCGAATAATATAAGCATACTAGCTGGATCATCAGTAGGCGAGGACAGTACGCGGTGGCTGATTGTTTGATTGGTCTTCAAACTAAGAAGTCGTAAGCATATGGATTCCGAAGTCAGAGGATTGAAGAGAGTATACCCATTTTCCCGGCAGCACAGGGGATTCCAGATCAAAGGCTGCTGATTCTCTTTGTCAAGTAAGATGAACCAACCGTGCCAGTAAGCCTTGATTTCTTTGCCCTCCATCTCCGGAGGTGCTGTTTTATGAAGGTAATAATATTTCTCACCTTCGATTGAAGAGAAGAACATCGTGTTAGAAACTGGGCTGTGAGAGAAAAACAGCGTAGGAGGAGGAGGAGAGGGGGGAGGGGACGGTGGCGGAGAGACAAGTTCTCGGCCAGCCTGCTTTTTCCTCCATCTTGGTAAGGAGGGAGTCGTGGTTTTGGAAGAACAGAGGAATCGCATGTTTGCTTAATATAAGGAAAATGATTTTGAGCCAGTCTTTTGGTATTATCTCTTAATATAATTTAATGTATTATTTAAATAAATAATTATTTTATTTATTTAAAATTTTTAATATTAAATATATTTATTTATTTAATAATATATAAAAATTATATAAAAAATAATATAAAAAAATTATTCTTATAATACCATTTGCAATAAGCAAACTTAGTCACCATAGGAATGCTCATTTCCAATCCTCAAACCTAGTTTAATTGTACTTGTACAGACATCTCTATTCTTCATAACTGCCTCAAACTAGTACATTAGGATTCTGGGAACTGTATCATCATCATCATGATCATCATCATCAACCTAGTTTCAATTGTACTTGGATAGGGCCTCAAACCTTATATTCCGAATCTGGGAATGATATTATCATTATTATTATTATTATTATTATTGGTACCTTTTTTATAATAAATTTATATAAAAAAATAAACATTAATTTAATATAATTATTAGTGAATAAATTTAATTAAATAATTAATAAATTAAATATTATTTTTTATTTTAAAAAATTTTTTTAACTTGTATTTTTAAAATATAGATTAAATTTATTTATTTATTATTATTTTTTTATCTTTGGAATTGGGATCCTCATCCCTCTCAATCTCATCACCCTTTAAACCCCAGACCCCAAGGCCAAGAAACCAGATTCTTAGCCACCAGGGTCTTGGGAGGCTGGTCTCTATTATTATTATTATAAGTAAAAACTCTAAATTTGTGATTAAAAATACAAATAAAGAGCATAATAGATCCCAATGATAACAAAATGAATTATGTTCTTTAACAAATTCTTGAACAGAATAATTTCAACCATTATTACTTAGGCCCCGTACAAGGGGCTCACAGCATAATGAATGACTTTCATAAATTTATCATGAACTTTGATCTAAATATCATTTTTTAATATAAAATGAAATAATCCTTCTATTTCCAATTAATCTTAAATTAAATCTTAATATATCGTGTTACGAGTTAAGAGTCATAACAGAATGACAATGCTACTGCGGCTCAGAAAAATGGATTAACCATTCATCTGAGTCTTACTACAATGAAGAAAAATTGAATGTTAAAAAATGTATTTAAATAAAAGAGAATACAGCATCACAGGCAAACAACATTTGGCTCTTGAAATTAATTTAACAAATGAAGTGAACTCACATCTCACAGAAACCTCTAACTAGTGAAAATGAGCTGAATAAAGATAGAAGCAGGCAGAAATCTGAGTTACCAATTGTTGTCTCAAGAGGCAATTCCAAGGTCCGACCCCATCTTCAATCACACTGGTAATTGTTAAGATACAGATGGGTAGTTCGGAGAGTTCTTTCTAATGGCGCATAGGAACATGATTTTTTTGATATCTATACCAAATACTCCGAGATATTGCATGCAAAAGGCTGAGCAGGGAAGGTCTTCGTAGTCGGCATTCATCAGGTTTGAGTAAGGAGGCGTGGTGACCTTATTGCATATGTAAAGCCACTACCGCAGTAAACCCTCAATGTAGTATCTTTCTGTGGATATTCACGGTCCAAATGCACTGTTTGAGGCTTAGTTTGATCACATGTATTTCCCAATCCAAGCTGACCATGTTCACCCCAACCCCAAGTCTTAATCACTCCATCATCTGCAATCACAATGTAAAAATGGAAAAATCAGTAAGCAAAATCATGCATATATGAAGTAAAGGTTGACAAGACTTTACCTGTTACAAGAGCAGAGTGCTCTGCTCCAGCCGCAATCTGCACAACTTTCATTCCATCAGGACTAGGTACTCTCTCTAATAGAGATTCTCCTGAATTAGCTGTGGGTGCAAAGAGAAAAGATTATTATGATAAATAACAATTTAGAAATGAATATGAATCAACTCATATACAAGTCTTACACATAACTCTTACACTTATTCATGTCCCCACTATGAATGACTAAGACTTATCCACTTTTTATCTAAATTTTTTAAAGATAATGTCTTTTCATCTAAAAAGACATGATAAATCTCAGTCACTTATAGTGAAGAATGATTTACATATTCAAGTTTAGAAAACTTAAGATGGTAATCCAGTTAAACATATGATAGAGAGACTTGACTGATACCTTTTCATTCTTGAAAGCAAGAAAGGTGATACTAATATAATAATCAGTTCACTTTCACAGTATACGTAAATAATGTATTAGGAGGACTTAGTCTACTGTATGGCTTTACCATTATGGTCCTAGCTTTATTGCTGCCTTACCAGATAAATGCTTTGGTGGATTCATTTTCTTGGGATCACTAAGCACTCCATGATGTGTACCACCAAGCATAAGAACTTCTCCATCACCTGTCAAAACATTCAATGATTTATATCAGTAAGTCTCACCATCTCTTAGTCATAGAGATTATAGAAGGGAGAAATCACATCTAGGTTTATTTTCTTTTCAAGGGCTGTTAGTTTGTGGTGAGATGGCAAGGTGAAGGTGGAGCTGGAATAGATCAAGGACTAGGAAGAGAATATTGGAATGAAAAAGAGGGACAAATGAGCGCAACATACCAGACAACACTAAAGCATGATTCCAACCAAGACTAGCTTTGCTACAGCAGAGAGACGAAGCTACAAGTTGAGGACAATGAGAATCAGAAGTTCCACCAAACCCTCTTCCCCAAGTGTACAGCTGTCCATCAGCTGGTGCAAAGGCACAACACAAAAACCATGAGAAACGACTAAATGTAGATTAGTGGATGGATTGTGATAGATGACAAACAATGTTAGATATGCTGCTCACATAAAATTTTATATGCCAGAACAAAAACCTGGTCCAACATATTAGTCTCTAAATAATATATGCTGCTTTTATCGACATTTTTGGAAAGAAATAAAGATTTTGACTCACCAGATATTGCAGCACTGTGGTCCCCATTTGCACTAATGGCAGTGATTTTAATGTCTCTGAATCCACAAGTAACTTGAGGTAGATTAATTGACTTGATATTATTAATTGAAATACCAAGTTGACCACGCTTTCCAGCTCCAAATCCATAAACTTGATCTCCTGGACAATCTGCAGAATTTATCTTGATCATGAGAGACAGAGATAAAAGAGGAGATAAACGAGAGTGGATTGGCTAAAAAATATATATATAAATGAGTGATAAACTCAAGCTGTTCACATCATTGGCAATCTGCTGTGTAATTTAAAAGATGATAACCATTCTCTTCTTTATCCCTGGTGTCTTAGGAAGTGATGATAGAATGCTTAGCAAGTTTAGTTCCATCCAGAAAAAAGGCATTATATAAATAAAAAATACTTTATTCTCTAGTCTCTAAAGAATTAATTTTCTAAAAGATGCTGCATCAACAAAGTTTCTCATGAAAATTTGAGGAAATATAACATTTAAATAATCAATCAATTCCTAAACCTTGTTTCACAGATGTACAAGATTTCTTTTAAAATAACATTGTACATTGTATAGAAATCTACATCAAGCCCTATGCACATTAGAGACAGATGAGAAAGGGGAAGTACAAACGATTCTGAAGATAAAGAGTAACTGATTTCTGACAAAAAGAAACAAAAAAACAGCAATTAGAAGTTGAGGGCCTTGAGGCCATTAGCATATCATGTACATATGATGCATTTACCTGTCAACAAGACAAGTGAATGGCGCATACCACATGCTATCTGTTGAGCATGTTTATTAACAAAATATGATACTTTAATGGGAGAGCAATGCGACCTGTAATCACCATGCCCAAGCTGACCAAATGAACCATCCCCACAAGTAAAAGCACACCCTGCATCTGAAAACCAACTTGAAAATTAAGTTTGGTGGAATGTTCAATGAGATAAATGTCAACTTAGAAACAAAATCAAACTCTAGGTATAATCAGAACCACTAATAGGAATGACAAAGAGAAATTCAAAATCAAATGAACCTGAAACAAAACCAGAGTGGCTCCATCCAGCAGAAACTTGAGTAATAAAATCATTCCCCAGGCACTCAACAGGCTTTGGACTCAAGCTATTAATCATCTCTCCATGGCCTAACTGACCAGAGGTGCCCCTCCCCCATGTCAGCACCTTCCCACCTGCAAAAGGGTTGACAAAAAAAAAGGGAATGCACACATAACATACTTAATTCCCCTGTATTATATTTAATTGAGTATATTCCTAAAAATTGATCTACAGGGAAGGAATCGGCACCGGAGGTCAAGGCAACAACATGAGCTCCACCACAAGCAAGCATAGAAATGGGGCCGGTGGAGGAAAGGGAAGGAAGGTGAAGGGATTGAGGAAGGTACTCGTCTCTAAGCCTACCCGTACCCAGCTGCCCATCTGTACCTGCTCCCCAACTCCACACTTGTTCCTCTCCTATGGATCCCTTTTCATCTTCTTGCTGCCTGCTTATTAACTTGCCCTTTTGATTTTCTTCCATCACCACCACAGATAGATTCTTTGAAAGAGGCTGAGAATATCAACTTTATTGCTTGTCAACTTGCAGAATTGGCCTTGGGGCTCTTGTTGACATCATCATTCCCAACTTTTTAGTTGAAACCGTGAGTACGAGGCTTGTTTTGTCACATTACTCCTGTATCATTGTGCTTACGATGAGACTCAGCTACAATACCAATAACCCAAAGAAAACAAAACAAAGACCCAACTAAGCAAACAAAAAAATCCTGTCAAGAGATCAACCATGGAATTCAATGAGAAACAAAGAACTTGATGTGAATTTGACAAAACTTAACCAAAGGCAAGCAATACCAACAACCCAAAAAAAGTCTCAGCATGGTTGTGTCCATCCTTTTTAAGATTCTAAAACCCTTTAAACAAAAATATGCCACTAAAGTCAATTTAATAATGTTTCATTTCAAAAGAAACAAACCACAAGTTCTTTACTCAAATCAACCTTTACTCAAAGTAAAAGAAAAAAAGAAAAAAGCAAAAAAAAAAAAATTACTCAAGACTCAAACATTTTCAGATGACTATATGAACAGTAACCCTTCCAGTTACAAGACTAAACTAAAATGAAAATATGCAAATGGTGGGAGAACTTGAGATGCATTAAGCAACCTAAATATCACAAAATTACTTTAAAATCAATCTTCAACATGCAAAAGAACATAACAACTCAAAGCAAAACCTGTAATCAAAACCCTAACTAAAACACCACCAAATCCATTTTTTGAAACAACCACAGACCAAAATTGAGAATGAGTTCTTCTAAAACACCCACAAATTACAATCTAAAATTAAATTAAATCAAACTTTACCACTGCTAGGTCAAGTGGGAATCGAAAAAGAACAGCAGAAACAAACGCACCTACCATAACCTGTAAAACCCTATCGAAACATTAAGAAAATTTCACAAGAAAAAAAGGCAAACAGACACTACAGAAAACTTTTAAATCCACCTGAAATTATGGCAGCCATTGAATTCTTGGGAGTTCTATAGCAGGACCAATCCCTCAGAACTTTCACAAGCTAAATTAATAGATATGCTTCCACGAGAACCCCATCTATTGAGCAGCAGAAATTTGAAAAAAAAAATCACAAACATTGCTAGCAGCTTCTCATAATTTTTCAAGCAAATTTACCTCGACAAATATACTGAAATCAGCATTAGACCTATGAACATTGCAGAACCCACAAAAATTTCTTCATCAATTTCGAGAATCAGCCATGCAAATACTAGTAAAAACACTGCAATCAGCATAAACTTGGGTCTGGTTCAGACTAAGGTAAAATACCTGTAGCCTGAAAAAGAACTCTGTATTTCTGATTATATGTCGCCGGTTACAACAAGTAATCCGATGCATTCCTTTCTTCGCAATGGGTGATCGAAAGAGCCAATTTTGTTCAACAGAAATAGTACGGGTCTTATGGGTTGTTTCACTATTGGCGAAAACTGGAGAGAACGACCATCAAATGATATATGATTTATTATAATTTTATAATATAATATA